GCAGGTGTCAGATCAGTGCCACCTCCAAACCACCATTGCCTAGGTGCTCCTGGAGTATCTGCATTAATATTAACCACAAGTAACATATAATTAACATAGTTCAACTTAAATCAAGATGCAGATATTACAGACATGGACTTACCAAAGGTATACATTGGCAATCCTAGCTAACAACTTAAATACTGCTAGTCTCATTTCTGTTGCAGACCCATATTATGCATTAATAAACATAACCAGTGAAAAGATTCATAAAATGCAAGAAGCAAACAAGACAATTGGGGAAAGAACACTAAATTCCAACGAAATATCTTAGTGATTTGGTGTATTTTCTATCTTAAAAAGGTAACAAATTTTTTGAGCAGCTCTTTTAAGAATTAGCACTTCTACCATAATATTCCCACTTTAAGCTCTTCTCAATCGTCTACTAGTGGTCTCATGCCAAAGCTTCCTCCACCCCATAGCTCTGTTTTCTGTCTCCATAGTGTGCTGCTTACTGATGCAATGCTCTGGACCATTACTGCCTACTACCCTAGCCTCTCTACAGGTCCAGCCACCCTCCGTGTATCTCTCTGCAGGCACAATAATCCTTCATATCTCCCTTTCATAATGCTGCATGCATCATGCCTGGAGGCCTCCTTCACATCATTGCTTATCTAGTATAAAACCGCTTGAAGCTGTTGTTGCTTGGGTAAAGCTATGAACATCTTAAGCAAATCTTACATCATTAAAAAACATGGAGAAATGTTGAGTATATAAGGAAGCAAGCATTAGATCACAGTAATTCATTCTGAAGCCATGCAGGCAATTGTGTACTAGACTGTAAAAATTAGTGTCAGAGCCACCCCTTGTGTATCCTTGTATGTTGGTTCCTTATATACTCAACATCTCCTTGTATCCTTGTGTATCCTTGTAGTTTGAGATAGTTACACAATTCAGCACTACTCATGTATAAATAGAAGTTCGGCAAACCCATGGCACACTCCTCATCCTTCTTCACTCTTTCCTTTTCATCCTTTCCCCGAATCCCAGACTTCTGCCACTCGTACCACCGCATTCATTTGGTACACCTCTTTTTTGCCCATCTCAAAATAAGCAATACCTATCTCCGCCCTCATCCACAATTCCAAATGTGCACCATCCACCACTGTTCTATTCTCTTATCCCTCCCTAGATAGCAATGACTTAATCTATTCTCATTACTATCCCAACCAGAAATCTATCGTTCTACCCTAATGACACTCAACCCCGTGCCCACCTATACCTTGAAGCCCCTGCATTCGTCAAGAGATCTATTTTCTTATCCATCCCTGGCTGCAATCAACTTTCTTCCCCATCCCAAACCATTAGTGTATCCTTCCCATTCCCTGCACCCAACCCCCATGCACCACCACCACCACCATCCACGTTGCTAGATTTACTTTCTGAATGAATCTTCTTCTTTTAGGTGCGCTACTTTTGTTACTTTTTCTGTCATTTGAGGTATTCTAATGACGGATGGAGATTAAGTTATATATAAAAAAAATTACTGATTGCACTACAAAGATTAAATTGTGCAAAAAGTGCTTTCATTTTAAGAATAATGTTCTTGTGTTGTTGTTACCCAATAAATAGGAAAGTATTAGGATGGCATGTTACTCCATTTTAGAGAAATAACTACCTCAGAAAATGACAAGTTCATTATGGCCCAACAGAAAATAGGAAGCAAAGCAAAGCAAATATGATACACCTTGTAGCTGCATTAATTTTGATATCTACTCCAACAAGAATTACTCTGACTGTGAGGGAAAACTGCAAAATGTGCACATGTGATTTACATTCGTCAACACTACTATTTTCTGTGAGAAGCAGGATAAGTGGATTCTCTAGTCTATGTCTATGACTGCAATACCTTTTTATTATTATTATTTTATTCCAAAATCTCAAAGAAAAGCACAATAGGTATCAAGAACACTATCTATTCCTGCGCAATCTCTTCTTTTCTCATAACTCATAGTTTCTACTCCATTTACATCGAAAGCAGATCAGCATCACAGAAGAATAACCAAAATTATGAAGGGGAATACCTTTAGGAGCATCAGTCTCGAAGTAGCGATAATTGAAATGTACAGTTGGTGCAAAGGGGTTTTTTGGATGTATAACCTGGTAAAGAAATAAAACCTTTATCAGTGATGATAATGTTTGGCTAGTGGTTCAGTGACATATTCAAGTAAAATAGATCAAGATTTTCCCAGAGAATGATACTATAAGAAGGTAGTTACTCTAGTAGTCTAGTCCATGCTGATTCTTAACTAAGCAAGTGGAATGAATTAACTACCCTCAACCTCAAACTAGCTGACGTCAGAGATATGAATCCCCTATATGTTCCACTCTAATCCGGCATTCATTATTACTGAAATTTTTAAGCTTTTGGGTGAACTACTAGCGAGATGAGTGATAAATCATAACAGTAACTCTTAAGGGAAAATTTACTTGCCTCTTGATCGATAGACACTAATCCCCAAAAAAATGTTGATAAACAAAAAGAAAAGGGAATTTCACATCGTTGGCCAACAGCAACCTTCTAAGTTCATAGGTGGAGTTCAAGTAAGCAAGTGGAAACAAAAAGGAAATAAAATCAAAACTACTAGTGCAATATACTTGTAGAATGCCATAATCTTCCGAAAGACATTCAAAAATCAACGTGAATCCCTTTGGATAACTTTTGGTTCTTAGCTAAGCAAGTGAAATTGATAAATTAAGCCTCAATTCAACCTAACTAGGTTAGGCATTTTTAATCTGTTTATATATTTCATTCAATTCGGGAATCCATTACTATGGGATTCATCGTAAATCAACTGGTACTTCATATGGATAGAGTTTATATAAGTGAGTGGAGACTGAAGGAAAACAAAAATAAAACTACCAAATGTAACATACATGAAGAATATCAGGTCCTTCATAAAAGCATCACAAAACCAACATGGATCCCTTAAATCACCAAAATCTGAATGTGACTTATAACTGCTTGTTTGATGGTCGTTACTTGTTGTATATTGTTAGTTTAAATACAATTTTCTTTTGATTATTGGATCGGCAAATCCATCTTTAGGTAACAACGAAAAATCTCATTTTGTGTGACAACCGATTTGGTGTATTTGCAACATTGTATTCATTAAAACAATCAAGTATATGATACAATACAATATGATACATTATGAAACAATATGTAACAACCATCCAAACAGAAGATAGCCTAAGTAAGAAATCTGGACCAAAGAAAGGTGGAAAGACTGGCTGAATTTTATGGCACCATAGATCACCGCTATACAGGACCAAGGATGGAAATGCCACAACAAAGGCTTTTTCACAGTCAGCTCTACTTATACGAATTTGAATCGGATGGGGGTCTCAAATCAGTTTCTTAGCCTGGAAGCTTATATGAAAAGTGAAAATCCCCTACAAAGTTGCAGTCTTGATCTGGCTGGTAGTGAAAGAGGCTGCTCTAACTCAAGAGAATCTCATGAAGAGGGGCATACAGATGTGTCCAAGATGTTATTTTTGTGAGCAACAGGCAAAGAGAATTGACCATTTGTTTTTACAGTGTAAAGTGGTTAAGCAGGCGCCAGCTATGGAACCTGTTTACTAATTTCAGATGCATAAGGTGTACTATGTCTAAAAGGGCAGGTCAGGCTCTAGCAAGCTGGAACAATGAGGGTAGTGGTAGCACATACAAATACAGATGAAGAATTATCCCAGCCGTGATATAGTGGTAGCACATATAAAAGAAAGAATGAAACGTGAGAAATTTACCGAGCTAACGCCAGCAGCAAAAAAGGGGATAGGACCAGGTTTAGTATTTCCATTATCAACTGGCCTAGCAGCTCGATAAGCTTCAGGAGGCATAACACCATAAACAACAGAAACATTAACACCAGCCTTCTCAAAAACATTCCCATCTTGCAATACCCTACTAATCCCACCACCCCCACCAGGCCTGGACCAAACATCTTCCTTGAATTTACCCCCTCCATCTACATCTTCCAAAGCAGCACAAACACTGTCTTGAACCTCCCTAATCATCTTCTCAAAACGTGCTCTAACCGAATTCGACTCATCCCCCGATGACCCTTCATCAGATTCTCTTAGAAATGTATGTGGTCGTTCAGTTTCTGGGGTTTCCTTCTCAATCATCCTTGATGACACTTGGACTTTGATGGAGCAGTTGTTGTGTGTTGATTTTTTACTTGTGCTTCTGCATCCAATGGTAAGTGGAAGTGATGAAAGATTGGCTACTGATGAAAGAGAGGAATATCTGAGTGGGAAAGTGGAAGTGGAAGAGGATGAAGGAGAGGACAGAACTGCAGAAAACATTGTAGATGAAGAAAATTTGAGAGAAAAATGAGGAAGTAGTTGCTTAAATTAGATTTATAAAGGGTATGACCAATGGGGAGATAAGAAATAGATTATTGGGATAAGAAATTACCTTACAAAGGGATATACCCAACTTTGCTAGTATTATATTTGGATGGAAAAAAAAAGAATTAAGTATATATTCAAACTTTAATCAAAATTCTTGTCTACTATTATATTGATGTTATAATTTGTCAAATAGTAAATTTTATAATCAACATTTTCTCTTAAGCTTGCACTAAGTATATCGAGCTTGATTTTTACTTTGTCAAAAAAAAATAGCTTTAAATTTTTTTTAAATTAGCTATATTAGCTGCTCTGTAAATCAAGTGACAAATACATTCACAAAGAAGTGATTCCAATTCTCATTTATAAACTTATTATATAAATCACAATTATCATATGTTTTGAAAAAAATAATTTAGATATAAATGAGTGATAATTTATGCAAATATTCGGACATTATTTTCTTACTAAATACACTACACTTGCAATGTCATCTTGTATACCTTTGTATCAACATTATTATTTTTGCAATAAGAAATAACTCTGTGGAGTTCTTTTGCCTTTGACCTAAAAGTTTGTGGGCTAAATTGTAACCAAAAGAAAATAATGGACCTTTTCATAAAAGTGATTTTCTCGGGAAAGTGTACAAAATTTGACGTGATTAATTCCAGATTCAAGTTCAATCCTCCACCGCGCACGGCCGTTCCCAGTGACCGTCTCACCTCAATCACCAGTCCTCAACCACTGAATTTCAATATTCCGATCATTCCTAACTTTTACGATTTGTCACTTAAAACTCATGGAGACTCTGAGAGTACAATTATTGGCTGAAAAAAGTGAGATCTCAGTACCATCACAGTACGTACAACCACCGGAAACCAGACCACAAATAGAAAAAACTAACGTAAAATCAGCAGTACCAGTAATCGATCTCAATTCACGAACGAACCTCCTGGATGAACTGAAGAAAGCTTGCAAAGAATGGGGAGTATTTCAAGTGATAAACCATAAGGTTCCGATTAGTTTGTTGGATGATATAATGCGTGTTGGTCGCACCTTTTTTGGAGGTTGCGAAATGGAAGAGAAGCTTAAGTATTCTTGCGATTCTGCTTCTCCTGCTTCTGAAGGATATGGCAGTCGCATGCTTGTAGCATCAAATGAAACGGTTTTGGATTGGAGAGATTATTTTGATCACCACACCTTGCCTTTATCTCGTCGCAATACTTCTCATTGGCCCGACTCTCCAGCTGATTACAGGTTCTTCCCCTAACTAATACAAATACTCCCTCATTTTCATATTAACTGGCATCTGTTGACCTGACATATAAATTCTCTTGCTTTGCTAATATGAACAAGTAAAATAACATCTACATTTGAGGTGCTGGCCCAGAAACTATTGTTATAAAAAAGACACTAGAAGATTGCTTAACTTCATCAAATAGCTCATGATGGCTTTTACTCTCACAGGCTTTACGATTTAGCATTAGCATAGAATACTAAAATAATGCAAATGCCAAGATTGTACAAATTTTGGAGGTTTCAAGTTTTCTTATTTGATTAGTAGGGAGAAACTTGAGTCTTTTTACTAGCCTTTAGCGTCTCTGTTAAGAGTCTGTAATGGTCATTTTATGTTTTTACGACTGCTTTTCTGGAATGTTCACTTCTTTTTCTTTTTTTTTTGTAAACACAACATTATATAATAACTCCATTACCGCGAATTGAAAGGTAACTGATAATTTCTCGAAATTCCTGCAGTGCTCAAATATATCTGACTCTGTGTTTAAGTGTTAATAAATTCTTTTACAAGAAACTAATTGAAGACACAGTGATTGGAAGTTGTTCAGGACATGAGTATCAATTATTTCCTTTCTAAGCATGTTTCATGCATAAAGCTCGCCTAAGTTATTAACAAAGTAAAACCTCTTAATTCCAACAATTTCCAACCCCTATGAGCACTGATCTGCATTTTCTTGACCCTAATGTTGCTGCACACTTTGTCCCAAATCACCATCATCAGGCTGCTTCAGTGTACTCATGTTCCTACATTTCCCCTCACCAAACTAAATACAAGTGAAGAATCTGCTGTTTTTCATTCATAGAAGAAGTTTGTGTACAGATTAGACTTTAGAGTAATATTAAGCTAAAATTTGCAATAAATGGCCCCTAAAAAAGTACTTGCTTGGAGTTAGTTCTTGAGACAGAGTTACAGCCACGTCAACTGAGACGTCTAAATTAAGAGAAGAAAACAAAATTGAAAAGGCCAAAGGACAAGAAATAAAAAGAGGCAAAACATTGAATCCTACCTTGTCATCCTTACATGGATCATTCACTTGGCTTGATATACCCGTGCTGAAAGGATGTGACTTTGGTATGAGTAGGTTTTGTGGATTCTCCAAAATACACTAAAAATTAGTAAAAGAAAAACTACACATAGCGAATGCGGATGTTTACACACCTGTGTGAGATATGTACTAATAAACTTCTGCATTGAGTGTCCATCTGTTCAGGGGTTTCTTAATTCATCTTTTTCCTGATTATCACTTAAATTTGACTGACAATGTCAATTTGTTGCAGAAAAGTTGTGGCAGAATACAGCGATCACATGAAAGCTCTTGCACAGGAACTTCTTGGTTTAGTCTCTGAGAGTCTAGACTTGACATGTCAGTGTATAGAAAATGTTGTTGGGGAGTTTTACCAAAATATCACTATTAGTTACTATCCACCCTGCCCTCAACCGGAGCTTACTCTTGGACTGCAATCACATTCTGACTTTGGTGTTATTACACTTCTCATCCAAGATGACGTGGGGGGTCTTGAGGTTTTCAATAATGGAGAATGGGTTTCTGTTAATCCAATGTCAAATGCTATCTGTGTGATCTTAGCAGACCAAACTGAGGTACTGTTTCTCGCTATGGTTACTGATTAATTCATGCTTCTTGCATGCCATGTTTTGCTTTAAAATTTTAAAATATTACTATCATACTGAAAAACTTGCTTTAGATGTTGATCAAGGAAGAAAAAGTTGTACATATGAAGCTGAAATTATTTTCAATTATCGTGTATAAGTGAATCTTTAATGTGTGTGCTAGTGTTGTATGTGACTTTGTGGTTCTGTTTCAATCACTTCCACCCTGCTGCACCCCAACCATGTGACAAGCTGGTTAAGGGGGTAACCCTAGTCCAGTTGACTTTTAAATTGAGAAATTTATGGTCCTGGACCAGAATTCGGAGGAAAGGTATGGGTACCTGATGCTTAAGGGATCACTAATAAAGGAACATGTTTGTTGAACAAATTCTTTCCATTCTGTTGTATCTGTTAACCCTATTCCAGTTGACTTTCCTATTGAGAATTTCATGGCCCTGGACCAAAATCCTGAAGAAAGGGGTGGGTATCTGTACCACTTTTTAAGCAATTTTTTATAAATGTCTGTTAGTAACTGTGCTAATGTTTCTTAATCCCAAGTGGTCATGTTTGTTGAATTTGGCCTTGGAGAAAAGCTAGAAAATTTACAATTCCTCTGTTTGCTTTCTATTTTATTGCATCTGCTAGCATATTGTTGGCCCTATTTTTTAATTTAGTGGGGTGGGGGGGGGGGTTCATTTTGTTTGTTTCATGTGTAAGTTTTAGGACTTCTGAAGTTTCTAGAGAGGATTGAGAGGATAAGACCGGGTGAGTCTCGAATTGAAAAGGAGATGAATTGACCGGCCTTTTTTTCCTTCACACAAAATATCACCTTTAAACACTAATTGAAAGGGATGAGGGCTGAATTATAAGCAACTAAACTCGTAATAATATATAAAATCACACCCAAGCCCAGTCGTTCAAAACTCTTCTGCAAACTATTATTCCCAGGCCTCTCGTTTCCTCTTCTCTTTTGTTGTTGCAATTTTCATCTTTCTTCTACCATGTGAACTTGATTGATGACATTATTAACTTTGATCACTTCAACAAATTCCGTCAAGGCACTGAGGTTTTAGTTCTTTTGAACTGATAGAGGGTTTTTGCCGAGAAACAAAACGACAGTTTTTTCCTCCCACAGAGGACCATCCTTTGCTATAGAAAATTTATATCCGTGTTAGAAATGTTATTCCTTTTCAAGTTAAATGTGTTATTTTACACCTATATTCCCTAGACTCTCTACACATATCCTCCTCAAACTCTGCTTGTGAAACTATATTGGGTATGTTGTTGTTTAGTGAGGGGTGTGTTCAATATTCTTTTAAGTATCTCAATATATGTTGTATTTTCGTGTTAGTACCGTTTTGAATGAACACTATTTTCCTGCAGATCATAACTAATGGCGAGTATAAAAGTGCTCAACACCGGGCAGTGACAAATGCTGGAAGATCCCGACTCTCAATTGCCACATTCCATGACCCTGCCAAAACCAGGCAAATTTCTCCAGTCTTCCATCCGCCTAGACATCGTCCAGTGATTTATGGCGACCATGTCTCCTCATGGTACACTAAAGGGCCAGAAGGGAAGAGGAACCTTGATGCACTTCTACTTTAATTGTTAACTCTCTTTCTGCAATTATTCATTCAAAATGTAGAAAAAAGTGATCTCTGTGTTATACTTTGACCAACATTTATGAAGATAGTTAGATCAAGATGGACTAAACACCTCAACTTAACACAACTTTTGTTCATTTTTCTCTAAAGATATCAATAAATATTCACAAACAAGTTTTCTTCCCTATTACCCTACAATTTATGTAGTCCAAAATGGTTTTAAGAAAAGCTTTTTGAATATATTATTGCAATTGAACATCTCTATGCAGCCCCATGGGGCGTGAATTTTTTGAGCACGAATAGGACCCTACGTAGCGCGAATTCAAATTAGTCAGGGCCTCGATGAAAAAAATAATATGTATACCATGTGCATACTATGATGTTCGAAATACAATAAATAAGTGTATCAAACACCATATAATTAATGTTATATAAAATTGCTACAATATAGTTTCTCTCTCTTATTCTCCATTGTGAAGCTTCTATTCATAAGTCATTATCATTGATATACATTTTTTTAACTTTCTTCAATAATTCACAACTGATTATCAGTGATTTTTTAATTACTTTTAACGGACATGTTTTCTTCATTAATGTTACTTTATTCATTTATTGTTTTCTTAATTGATGTTACCTTTGCTCGTCATCACCTCTTTCTGTCATTATATATTTCATTTTGGGCCTTATGGGCCGAATTTATTCATTTGTAATAGATCAAAACAAATTCAATAAAATACGACCTTGTTCAAACTGATACCCGACCCAAATAAGTAAAATATATATCGTACTGAAATATAAGTATGGGAAAATTAGTAAACTAGTCATAATTTCTAATTTAATTAGTAAAAATATCTATACTTTAAAATAATTATTTAAAATGTCAATATTTTAAAAAATAATTTGTATCCGAATACTATTATTTGTCTTTCCTTTTATTTCTCAAAACAGTCCAACATTAAATATTGACTATACATTTAGACTTCTTCCTAGACTTTAATAACATTAAATTTATTTCCACCTTTGAGGTTTTCAATTTTTTTTTCTCTTTTACCAAAATTTCACCATTATTCTCTCTCTTATTGTTGAAGAAGAACTAATTATTCAAGTTCATATCAATTTGTTTAGTCTATCGATTAATTCAATAAATCTTTCAATACATAAAGGTATTTTTGAAATCATCATTTATTTTGCGAGATTTCATGAGATTTTGTTTTCAAAATAAAAAATTATGTTGAATTTTGGATTGTACGTATTACAAATTTTTCGTTATTTTTTTCTATTTTTATGTGAGTTTGTTAACATACTCATCAAATATTTATGCATTTTGGATTTTTAGTATTTTATACACTATTTTTTTTATGATTTTATTTTCATATTTGAGATTTAGTAGATTGTAATTTGTAGTGATCCACATTAGCATTCATACATAATATATTGTTTGATTTTTTTTTTATATTCATATTTAATAATTTGAATTTTGCTTATATCACAAGTAAACACAGATTCAGATTTGAATTTGGTGAAAATAATTGAAAAAGGAACATAGTAGACGAAGAAGAAAGAAAGAATCAAAGAAGAAGGTTGCAAAATTGTATTCATACCTCATATTAATTTTTGTTTGTCAATTATTTTTCTTTTACTCATCTATATTTTTATTAAGAATATTGTATTCCTTTTTTATTTGAAATTATTCAAATATATTTCATATGAATTTGTATTTTTTAAGCATAAATGTATCCTATTTTGTAACAGTCAATTTGTATTTTTTTTAGACTATTGAATCCTGATTATATCATTTTCAATATGTATGTTATCTCATATGAATTTGTATTTTTTAAGCATATATAGTATCCTTACTTTAACAGTTAATTTGTAATTTTTTTTAGAATATTGTATCCTCATTATATTATTTTCACCTATGTATGTTATCTGTTTTTTAGAATATTGTATCCTCATTATATTATTTTCACCTATGTATGTTATCTGTTTTTTAGAATCTTGTATTCTTATTTCTTTCATAGTCAATTTATATTTATTTTTTAGAATATTATATCCTTCCTCAACAGATTTATTATTTCCACCAAGTATGTTAGTTTCAAAATCTTGTATCCTTTTATAAATCATATTCATATATATTGAGATACAATAAATAATATTTTTTGCAATACAAAAAAAAAGAAAATTATATTTGGCAATCATATAATACAATTTTGATAACCGAAATACAATTTGTAGTTTGAAAGTAAAAAAAAATAAAATTTTAATTTAAATGGTTACGTGAGCATATAAAATGTAAAAGATATTGATATACAATTACAATGAAAACATAATAAAAAGAAAAGTTGATCTAATATAATGGAAAAGGATTTTTTTTTTGAAATTATAACTGATGTGTTCCTTTTTCTACTTTCTAAATAATTTTAATCCTTGAAAATCAAACAAATAAAAAATACATAACAAACTAAAATAGTGACATTTTAGATAAATATTAAAAATGTGGCTAAATTTTTTTATTAAGTATCAAAATATATAAAAAATACATAACAAATTAAAATATTAACATTTTAAATAAATATTAAAAATGTAGCTAAGATAACCTATTAAGTATCAAAATATTAACATTTTGAAAATTTTACGACAAAAATGATTCATCTTGTGTCCAAGTCTAGAAACTCCTTCCTTCATATTTCTCGTGTTCCATTGATATGCTTTTCTACTTTCATAGATGATTTGTGATAATTGTATGATATATGTACTGTACATATCTACTGTTCGAGTGTTTTAATGATTTTCCATTTTTTTTGTTAATGTTTAAGACTTTTTTTTCCACACACGACATGTATTAAATTTTACCGGACTCCTTTTTTTTTTTATCCTTCCTTACTTGAAAAAATTATGGGCACTCTGTATCGTATCTATATTTAAGCGCTTTACTCATCATACAAGATTTTCCTTCCTCGCTTTACATGTTTTTGATTGCCGAATCTTTCTTATTGTTGCTTAAATAAATCTTTTACTTAACCATTAAGATTTTTCCTCCCTCATGCCTTACGTGAATTAATTTTGTTTATCTTTATTCGAGTTGCAAATTGCTATATCTTTAAGTTTTTTACTTGTCAAAAAAAAAAAGATTTTCTTTTCACGACCTACATGTGTTAATTTTGTTGATTTTTTACTCGAATTACTAATACTTATATCTTGCTTTAATTAAATTTATTACCTATATAAAACTTGGATAATAATAATTTATTCATAAGCACTTAAATTTATTATCGATTAAAATTAACTTTAAAACAAAATATATCCTTTTAAATGAAAACATAAAATAAAAGAGATTACGATATTAAAGTCCGAAAGATCATTTGATCATAAATAAAAATTCAATTTCTTTTTTTATAAGGGCAATAATTAATTCTACAAAATAATTATTTTCTTTATAGAAGAAAAAACATTGAAGAAACTAGGTAAAATATACTATATAACTTGAGGTATTTTTTTTCTTCATATGTATACTTTTACAAAATACATTTGGATGAAATACAAAAGTCTATCTTATCACTAATATATATAACTAAACTATATGTTCGACATAAATATGTCACTTCGAAGAAACTACATAAATATTTTGCCTTTTTTGCTTTCATGCATTTTTATTTGTTTTGTTGACAAAAAAAGACATTTTGGTTGCTAGGTCTACAGGAGCAAAGAGTGTACTTTCCTCCTGAATTTGCAAAAACTCAAGAAATCGCCGCCCCTTTTTCCCCTTTCCAGAGAGTCCACTGAAGCTGAAGAATCTGAACAAAGTTCGAATCTTTGAAACGAATAAATTGAATTGATCTTTTAGCTCCACTATTTTGCAGGTTCTATTCTATCTAGCCCATTTTATTCTAAGTTTGTTCTGTTTTATATGCGCATATTTATAAAGTTATGATTTTTGGGTTGATTACAGGATCTGTGTTGGCCTTATTTTTGTGTTATTGTTGTTTTTATTTATTTGGGGTTCTTCAATTGGGTAACACCATAGTATATTGTAATGGATGGTGATGGTAGTGGAGTTTCTGAGAAACCTTCTTATTGGATTGATGCTTATGAGGACATCTCATGTGATGATCTCATCCAAGATTTTGTTGGGTCCAACACTGTACCCGTTGCACCATTGAATCAATTGGGTCCGGATGAGACTCTTGATCCTTGTTTCTTTGGTGGTATTGATGGGATTCTCGAGAAATTAAAGAATGGTGATGGTTCTGTACATTCTGTGGATGGAAACAACAGTAATGTACACACTGAAGCTTTAGCTGCACCTGGAATTTGCAAGGACAACGGGCCACAAGTTAAAAAGGATGTGGACCACAACAAAGGTGATTTGGGGAAGAAGTCTTTACAAGAAGGAAATGGATTTTCCAGGCATAAGGAACGGGGTTGTAGTGATAAAGAAGAGAAAAATGGAAAAAGGGCGCGGCTTGGTGATGATAGCTACCAGAGGAGAGGCTGTGATAGACCTTTGGCTAGAAAGAGACTTCGCGAGAATGATGAGATCAATAGAGTAGGGAGGGATCAAAGAAAAAGAAGAGAATATCATGGTGGTCGTGGTGGAAGAGATAGGAACTGGAGGGAAGGGAGTGGCTTTTGGGAATGGGACAAAGAAAAGAAAGAGATGATCTATCGTGTGGGTTCATGGGAAGCTGATAGAAATCGAGAGGGGAAGTTACCAACTGAGAGAAGCCGTGAACCTTCTGGAGCTATTGAGAAGAAAGATGACAAATTAAAGGAACAAGCTCCCAAAGAGGAAGCACGCAAGTATCAGTTGGATGTACTTGAGCATGCCAGAAAGAGCAATACAATAGCTTTTCTTGAAACAGGAGCAGGAAAAACGCTTATTGCCATCCTCCTCATGAAGAGTCTATGTAGTGACTTGCAAAAGAAGAACAAGAAAATGCTGGCAGTTTTTCTGGTTCCTAAGGTTCCACTTGTTTATCAGGTACTTCTTTAGCACATCTCCCTGTTTCCCCATTTTCACATCTGCGAAAACTGGAATTGAATTTGATTTTTTGTTTTGGAACACAGCAAGCAGAAGTTATTCGTGAGCAAACTGGCTATCAAGTTGGCCATTATTGTGGTGAA